AAAAATTAGGTTACAAATTGACGTGGCTGCTGTGGCAACAGGACTACTCAAAGACGTGGCTCCAGTGTAGCGTCTCGAAATACGAGAAGCCACCATTGCCTGTACAAGTAGGCAATGGCTTAGAGAATACTGCATCTGCACCATGAAATATGTTAATTAGCTTATGTCATTTTTCACCTTTTACCCCAATTCTTAGGGATGATGGTGTGGGTAGAGAATAGTAGTTAAGGATGTGCAGACTGTAGTGTTGACCTGTATTGTTGAATACTTGTATGTGTTCCCGCAACAGTTGAGGCCCCCTTTGGAAATTGGAATGCAGGTTTCTTGTTTTTTCTTTAAATGAGCTGATGAGCTGATTCCTGCAAGTTCACAAAAAGAATGTAATTCTCTTTTTTGGAGAAATCAAGAGGTTTGCACTTCGATTAAATTTATATAAAAAATACTACTATCCATGATATAAAATAACTATCATTAGATTAATTATGGAATCAATTTTTATAATAAATGTATTTGGTCACATAAATGGTAATACTATTTACTGTAAACTTGGTCAAACTTAATTAGATTGACCGGCATGGATCTCATAATTACATTCTTTTATGGATGGTGGTAGTAATTTCTATAAAATTCCTAATTCCTGTGTTTCAAAGGTACCTAAATGTAGGTGTTCTTTGTAACGATTACTATAAAATCCCGACGTTCTAAAGGAACATGAATCTAGGTGCGCTCAAATTCCTGTGTTCCAGGAACAATTTGTCGGCAATAACCTCAAAAGATGTGTTTTGCTATGGTATAATTCTTTTGAGTAAATTTCATTTGTGGTCCTTGAACTTGTCTAATATTTTTATGTAGGTCATTTTTTAAACCATTTTTATTTAGGTCTCGGTACTTCCGAAATGTATTTTTGGCACCCGAAACTTGCTAATTATATTACATGGAGTCTAAATCATAAAAAAATATACTAAGCCATTCATCAAAATTTATTTTTGGCACCCTAAACTTGCTAATATATTACGTGGAGTACAAACCATCATAAATTATAATAAACCATTCGTGTGCCATCTTGACTGTATGATGACATGGTCTTAGACATGTGAGGGTCGATGAGCAAATGTCATCGGTGGTTTTTAGCACCCATAATCTTTAGAACTTGTGTTAAACAACTACAAGTTGTGCTGACTATTCTACACTTTTAGCACCTAGAATCTTCAAAACTTGTGTTAAATGCCTACATGGTTGTTTGGATCTCTAAAATTTAAACTTGTTTTAGCTAAATGAGTTTTGAACAAGATTTTAGGAAAACCAATTTTGAATTGGTTCATTAGCATGAGTTTTACTAAAAATGTGTTTCGGCCGTGGAAACCAATTTAAGTAAAACCATGTTTAGATAAAATAAAATATACGTAGTCTGCTTCCTTGGTCCTTTTTCCCATTTCTTACTACTCCCTCTCGCTCTCCAAACTCCAACCATCATCGTGACCCTGCCCCGCCGCCTCCCCTATGGCTCAGGCTCTGCCTCCCAGTCCCTGCTCTCCTCGGAAGGAGAGGGGGATGGAGGCAGAGCACTTCGTGAGGATTGTAGACGTTGAGCCAACGAAGAGGTGGGATCCTCCCAGTCCCTGCTCTCCTCAGGAGTAGAAGAGGTGGGATGGAGGCAGAGCACTTCGTGAGGGTTGCAGACGTTGAGCCAATCAAGAGGTGGAATGGAGGAAGTGCACTTCGTGAGGGGAGGAGAGGAGGATGAGGGAGGATGGAGGCAGAGCACTTCATGAGGGGAGGAGAGGAGTTGGGATGTTGAGCTGATAGAGCACTTTGTGAGGATTGCAGACATTGAGCCCACAAAGATACGGCTACTGCAGTCTGCACTTTGCAGGGGCCGTGGCAAGTGCTTCTTCTGTCTTTTTGCTGAAGTGGCCCAAACACATTTTTAAATTGTTTCTTTGCTAAAGCGGTCCAAACACATTTTTTAATAGAACTCGCGCTAAACTAACCAATTCAAAACTGGTTTTCCTAAAATACTGTTATTAGCTAAAACAGGTTTAAATTTTAGAGATCCAAACAACCACTTAACGTTGATACGTACAGTGCCCCATAGTCTCACCGTTCAGAAATCTGAACATATTAAGACCCCGCAATGCTGACGCTCGGCTCGTCACACAGCCTACACAGATCCATAAGCAATGTTGTTCAATATGTCCAACAGTGCAATCAAATGTCCAATGAACACGGGTAGCGAATCGAAACGTCTTTTGCACGTCAACTCGCGCGAATATAATGAATAGAGGCTAGAGAAGAAGATCGGCATTACTGATCGTGCATGCATGGCATCCCGCGGACTCTCTCGTCAACTAAATTAATCTTTCTTGGAGAAGAGCAGCCGCGCCCGGAGGTCGGCGGCGTCGACGTCACGCAGGTGGTTCTCCGGCATCCAGCAGCCCGTCTTGGGGTCCCTTATCCAGAAGGACTCCTCATCCTCCATCTTTGCCGCCGCCGCTGTCTTATCCGCCGCTGCCGCCGGCCTCGCCTTGCCGGCCGCTTCGACAGGCTCCTTCCGCACCGCCGCTGCCGCCGCGCTGAACGCCCGGCGGCCGCAGTTCACCGCCTCCTGCCCGTAAAGGCCGGCCAGATGGGATGACAAAAGAGCGCGCGGTGCCATCGTCGTTGCTCGGGGCTAGGGAAAGCTTATTATTGCAATGGTCAATGGAAGAGGATGATTGCACGAGCTTGCTAGGGTTTTGGAGGTTGCTGTTTGCATGTGAGGCGCGGCGTTTATAGGAGAGCGAGGCGGCGGCGCGTAATACTTCTTGGAGTGGGTTACGGTCTTACGGAGTTCGTTTTTTTTTTGAGCAGAAGAGTTCGTTCGTTGATGGAAACAAACAAACGTGTTGGTGAAGTTCCAGCCCATGGGCCTTTCACAATTCCTCACTCATGGACTTTATGGTCCACCATATAGATCGACGGGGGGTTTCTCAAAAAAAAAAGTCGACGGGGAAAATCCATTTCACCTCCTTTATTTTTCTTCTTGAACATCAAAACTAGATGTTTTACCCTCTCAACTCTCAAAACCGTTTAAATTATCTCCTAGCTTGGGTTAGAAGCGGTTCTCAAGACGGTTTTTATCATGTTTTTATTGTTATTATAAATTTTTTTGTAAAATACCAGATAAGGTTTTAAAATCACAAAAATGTCTTCAAGACTATAAAATTACAAGAAAAATCCTAGAGGTATATTGGAACACAAAAAAACAAAAGGAAAATATTTAGAGCTCATGAAGACCCTAGGAATATGGGAAATCATCCAAAAATTTTGGAAATTTTCCAAAAAGTCTGATTAATGTAGAAATGCATTTTAAAATCTTAACACTACAAAAAAACTTGAAACTGGTAAGAATGTAACACAAAATTAAGGCTTAATGCATTTTCATGTTGGTCGCATCTCATATTTTCTTGTGGAAAGTTTTCAGAATGTGTTTAGACACGATTATAATGTTTGAGGAATTTTTCAGATTTTCCTGGCATTTTCCCCATCTTCCTTGAGCCAAATATAATTTTTGGAAGCTTGACTTTCACGATCCCTAGATATTATATTTGGCTTTGTTGTGTCCCAGTCTATTTCTTGGAGTTGTCCCAAAAATTTTAGAAGCTTATAGAGACATTTTTCATGGTTTGAAAAACTTCTCAGGTATTTGTTGGACTTTCTTAATATTAACTAAAAAAGATGGAACTGCGTCTTGATGACCACTTCTAATCGGTGTAAAGAGGTAATTTAAATAGTTATGACAGTTGAGGGGTTAAGGTATTTGGCTTTAGATAGAGTTTGAAGGAAAAAAATAGACTATGAAAATAATTCAGTAGGTAAATGGTCTTGATATTTGACTGGCAACTAAAATAAGGTTACGTGGGCCCACATCCAACGAAAAGGGCCGATTCTAAATTCCGGACCTTTTTATTTGGTTCGTGAAACACGTACTACGTGCAATGCAAGAGAGATTCCACACGCGTTTGAGCCTCCAGAGCTGAATTCCCAGGCAAAAAGTTGGAGATGCAATACGGCAATTATTGTCCCGTCCAGTTCCTAAATTCCTTTTGCTTGCTATAGGTATCGATGGAATTAAACAGGGCATCCCTCTTTAGCTGCCACTTAGCAAGTGACCGGAATCAATTCCGGCCGGTCACACGCCTCACGCGTTAACGTTGGACACAACTGAAACCTAACGAATCTGAGTGACACGCACCAAGGAAACAAGATATACTCTTCTGGATATTGTTCCTCACTCCACTTTCTTTTCCATGCTCTGAAATCAACTGGATGTAATTAAGGCTGTGTTTAGTTCACAAAATTTAGGAATTTGGCTACTGTAGCACTTTCGTTTTTATTTTACAATTAGTGTTTAATTATGGACTAATTAGGCTCAAAACGTTCGTCTCGCGATTTCCAACCAAACTGTGCAATTAGTTTTTTTCGTCTATATTTAATGCTCCATGCACGTATCGTAAGATTTGATGTGATGGCTACTGTATCATTTTTTGGGAAAGTTTTTGGGAACTAAACACAGCCTAAGTAACAAGAGCATGCTATAGTACATCTTTAGCTTCTTCAAGATTGCAACATGCAAAAAAATGTTTAGAAAAAAAAACACCCAATCAACTTCTCTCTGGTAGCTAAGTCCCTTTTATTTCCAACCCCACCTGTCAGCTCATGCATCAGTATATGATAGCCACTACCACTACAGCATGCATCACACATCACTATATGATACAGTTATATATACTTGCAGCTTGATCGATTATTGGTTGATGATGACAACACAAGTCTTCTCTGCTAGTAGTGCTCATCCTCTCGGTGATTAGAAGAGTGGATTTTTAACCACTTCACTCCAGTAGTAGACCGTACTAGCTAGTAGTAGCAGTGCTCTTCTCGTCATCCACCATGATGAGACTTCTTTCGTCCTTCTCAGCGCTATCGGTTTATTAGGCACGTCTGGATCGATGGACCTCTAGCTAGGCTACGGCAAGTGTCTTCCTCGGCGGCGGCCTGCCCCGGATGGGCGTGCGGTGGGGGCTGTGGTGGCGGGCCTGCCCCTGCCCTCGCCGCTGCAGCTCCTGCTTGCTCATCACCGCCGCCGCCTCCCGCTCGCGCGCCTCGTCCACCAGGATCTGCTGCCACCGGCACTCCTCGCTGCAGAACCCCTGATCGCCTCTGCACGCACAGACACATGTCGTCAACATGTCGTCGCATGTATGTATGTGCAGGCTCTTCTTGATCAATATATATACCTATACATGTACACGTCCTTGTCAGGGCTGAGCTCCCGCTTGCAGAGGTAGCAGGCCTTGAGGAAGCTGCACGAGAAGGCGTGTCCGCCGTGGCCGTGGCGCGAGCTAGCGGCGGCGACGGCACGCGGCCTCACCATCTGCTTCAGGACTACGTTCGCCGCGTGCGCGTGCGCGTGCCCGTGCCGGCCGTGGTGGTGGTGCACCAGGATCTGGAGCCCCACGACGAGGCGCTCACGCTCGCGCGCACGCCGGCCGCCGCCGCCGCCGCCCATGGACATGGACGACGACGCGGCGACGACACTGACGCGGTGGTGCACGGCAGAGGCGGCGCCACCCTCCTCCCCGAGGTGGAAGATGCTCTGCCTTCTTGGCAGCATGGCGGTGATGAGCTAGGGGAGGAGGGTGGGGGATCCCCTCCTCACTGCAGGAGCTGTCTATAGCTAGGCGTGCAGGGGAGGGAAAGAAGAGAGATGAGGGAGGAGGGGGAGTGGTGAAGGGGAGAGGAGTGATGGATATTTAAAACCGCTTGATAACCACAAAAGGCCTTTTGGCACTGCTCCGACGTGACCAAATAGAAGAAGATTCTCTTGGCCTGCTGGGACTAGTGTGCATGAAAAGAAATATGACAGTGCAAAAAGAGAAGGAGGGTAAACTTTGGATAATTTTCCAGATGATCGACCTTTCTGAACTCAAATTTGAGTTTTGACCAAGAAAAAAACAAAAGAGATAGCAGAGAAACCGAGGATCTGTTTGGCGCCTTCAAAATATGCAAGCCAAAAGATCTGGTAAGCCATGATTTTAACTGTTATTTGGTCTGCTACCAAAACTTGCTAACCTCTTCCATTTTGCTTATCAGACCTATGGCAAAATCTTTTTGCCTAATGTTTGCTTGCCAAATCTTTGACATGGCAATTTTGGTCGCAAACCATACAAGCCATAATTAAAGTTTGCACAAGTTTCTTAAAGCTGGGCTACACGAACTTTTCATCACCCGTGTGATTATTTGTAGCTAATACTCTTTTCTAAAATGAGCCTGTCAGATTCTTATATGTAGGATGCTGCTATTGTTTTGTGTTCTTTTGAGTCTAAAATATAACAAGCGGATTAATATTTTTTATTTTTTTTCCATGCCTCCAACGCGAATTTCAAAACAGGCTGGAGCTCTGTTCTCTCTTGCTACCTATATATCTCTAAATTCTCTTTCTTTATTTTACTCTCTCCACTCTCTTTTATAAGACACACCTTGACATGACACCGTCTTCCGGACTGAACTTTGACCATCTATTTATTTTATTTTATATTATTTATACTTATAAATTTATGCTAATTAGATAGTAGATTTAGTTACAAATCTAACATATCAAATATGTGTTATATATAATAATTAAAAATTGTTAGTCAAATTTCTGTCCAAAGTTTTTGAAGTTTGAAAGATATGCGTGTGCACCTTATAAAAGAGAATGGAGGTAATATTTACTAAGTACGCCCTCCTGGCTCCCTGCCCTGCCGCCAAAGTTTAAAAAAAAATTCTTTAGCAAGTCACAACTGAAACCCTTTTTGAAATTAAGATAGAGACGGAGCACTAGCTGACATGGAAATTTCTATGACAAGCAAAGTAAAAAAAAGTGCTAATGATAAAGGCCGGGTTATGTATGAGCTGGAATATATATAATGATTACTCGTTACGAAATTGTACAGATGATATTATGAGTGGTCCTAGTTAGAAGCAAAGGTGACGTTTTTGTCTTCGTGTAAGCTGTTCTCCACTCATGCGGGAGTATGCAGAAAGGCAGTCTGATTGATTATTGCGAGGTCTTTTCATGAAAAATAATGGAATATCAGAAAGTTTCTCGCGCTATTTTTCTTTAAACAAAAAACAGAAAGGTCGTTTTCTGTGAGAGAAAACTGTCGAGGAATCCTTGATGTTGCTGAACATGCAAAGCAATATATATAGTGGGCAACAAGGTCACGGAAGCTAAAAAAAACTCAAGAAAGAAAAGAAAACTTAAGTAGGCACTATTGGGAATATATCCCCGGACAATTTTTTTTTTTTTTGCGAAGACTGGATTTTGTTTGTCTTGATCATTTACGTGAATCAGCAACTTATACAGTGATAAAAGAAAAAATATATAATATTAATTATAGTGACCTTGTATATCCATTTCTCACACAATTAGCATACTGTATGCCTTCTATTTAGCTATAATAATAATACCCCTGTTTTCCGACACACTTCTGGAAAAATGCCGCACCAAAAAAAGAAATTTTGGCCACTATACATGTACATGGGCGAATCTTGACCACTAAATATGAATCATTATACATATAATCTATATAGATGCGCTGTTGGATCAGTATACTGTTCTAACCACAGGTTGTGGTTGTTGCATATGCCAATTCAAGAACTAGTACTCCTGTGTACGATGGTGACAAAAAAATCAGTTGGCTCCACTAAGGGCTGAATTAAGCGCGTATATCTGGAAAGAAATACTCCCTTCACCCCCAATTGGAAAAAAATGGCACCCACGGTGGATTCATGCCACTTGTTAATGATGCATGGTGGGGACTAAATCCCCCCCCTCCCCCAACTGTGAGTCGTTTTACCTTTCTAGATATATAGTTTTTTTATATGCATGTATAATTGTATATCGATCATGTTTAAATACATAGTAAAAGATATGCATCTAATTAATAAAGTCAGAATGACTTAATTACAATTTGGAACAGAGGAAGTATTAATCATTCTTGTCATCCACACAAGTCTTCTTGGACGGTTGTCAGTAGACGATTGGCCAAGGACCAATCAATGATGTGATTATCACACGGTTTTCATAAACTTTTTATCCTGCTCCCTTTGTAACCTTCTGTAGCAATTAATGACTGTTAGACCTTAGAAGAAACTTCAATGTAACCATGCTTCATGGAGATCATGATCATAACCCTAGGTTACTAGAGTGTGCAACTGTGCATACACTACCGGAAACCGGCACTTTGCCGAATGCCGGAGGCTTTGCCGAGTGTATTTTATCGGGCACTCGGCAAAGACGGTCTTTGCCGAGTGCCAAATAAAATATACTCGGCAAAAAAAAACACTCGACAAAATGCGTCTTTGACGAGTGCCTTTTTTCTGGCACTCGGCAAATATGTATTTTGCCGAAGTGCTATTTTATTTTCAAGCAAAACAAGCTTTTCGCCGCACTTTCTGCAAATATGTATTTTGCCGAAAGTGGCAAATGCGTCTTTGCCGAGTGCCTTTTTTCTGGCACTCGGCAAAGATGTATTTTGCCGAGTGCCTTTGTTTTGGCACTCGACAAAGAGGCATTTTGCCGTGTGTGTTTTTTTTGCCCTCGACAAATCAGTTTTTCAAAGCAATTTTTGAGGCCCTAAATGAATTCAAATGAAAAACTTTTCAACTACAAAGTTGTATAACTTCTCAAGATCTACAAAGTTTATTTTGGTCATTTCTTCATTTGACAAAGCGACAATAACGTTGTTCATAAAATCTACATCTCTCATATCTCTCATATTAGTTTCATGAAAGTAGAAGAGAGATATAAGATTTGTGAACAATGTTACTACCACTATGTCGGATGAATAAATGACCAAAATAAACTTTGTAGATCTTGAGAAGTTATGAAATTTTGTAGTTGGCAACATTTTGATTTGAAATCATCTTGTCATGCAAAAACGACGTTTGAATTTTAAAATTTTAAAATTTGAATTTTTCAAAAGACCTCAGATGAAAAAACTTCCTAAATAAAAACTATAGATCTCCAAAAGTTATGAAACTATGTAGTTGACAACTTTTTGATTTAAAATTATGTTATCATGCAAAACTACGTTTGAATCTCTCAAATTTAAAATTTGAATTTTTCAAACAACCTTGGATGGAAAAACTTCATAAATAAAAATTGTAGATCTCGAAAAGTTATGAAACTTTGTAGTTGACCACTTTTTGATTTGAATTCATTTAGGGCCTCAAACAAGCAATTTACTCTCAGTTTAGTATAATATATGAGGATAGATAACCGAATCTAGACACAAGTGACAGTGTAGTGCAGCGGTAGAGCAGCAGACACGTGAGGGAGAGGTCGTGAGTTCGAATCCCGCCGGCCGCGTTAGCCACGAATTTAGTGTAAAAATGCACCGACTTCGATGAAGACGGACGGGCGCTGGCTGGTGGTGGCCTCCCCCGAATTTTTTTTTGAAAAATTTTGGGCCTCAAATAAGCAATTTACTCTCGGTTTAGTATAATATATGAGGATAGATAACAGAATTTAGATACAAGTGACAGTGTAGTGCAGTAGTAGAGCAGCAGACACGTGAGGGAGAGGTCGTGAGTTCGAATCCCGCCAAATTAGCGTTAATACAAATTTAGCGTAAAAATGCACCGACTTGATGAAGGCAGGCGGTGGTGGTGGTGGTGGTGGCGGCCCCCATTTTTTTTTTTGAAAATTTTGCTATTATTTTTGGGTTTTTTCGTATTTTTATTTTGCCGAGTGTAAATCTTTGCCGAAAGTGCTTTCCCAAGACTTCAAGCAAAGCCCGATTAAAAAGCACTCGGCAAATAGTTTGCTTGTAGTGAAGGGATATGCCAATGGCTCTTGCCGAAGTCTAAAGATTTCGGCAAAGACTTTGCCGAGTGCAAAGTCTTCTTTGTCGAGTGCAATTGCACTCGATAAAGCACGCGTCTGCTGTAGTGATACGTTTATATTGATAAGCGTGTATGAACATGAGCGTCAACGTCTATACCGTGTCTCATAGGTCATTAATTTGTTTCAACTTTTAATTTGGCCAATCTACAGCTTGTTCGGTTGGCTGGTTCGTTTCGTTGCTGGTTCGTAAAGAAGTACTGCTGGCTGGTTTGTGTGAGAGAAAAATACCATTTCGGCTGAAAATTTACGATCATTTACGACAAGCCACAGCCAAACGAACAGGCTGCTAGGTGTCGGAAGCTTTTAGCTTTTGGACATCCAGAAACTAGTTGTACTAAATTGGCCAAAGCGTTCTAACCAATAATAATGCAGCAACTAACTTTTAGAAATTAATTTCATCTAGTACTCTATCCAACACGCAAAAAACAAGATCTCCCTTGGAGGGCAAAAATATGGATAGACAATTCTCTACGATAATCTCTTTATTTTTTGCTTTTGGGGGGTTTATGCATGCTTGTGCATACTCCGTCTGTCCCTAAATAACTATCGTTCTCGTTTGTTGAGAAATAACTTTGACGAATTTTATATAAAAAAATATTAATATTTATGGTATATAATAATAATTATTAGATAGATCATTAATCTATTTTTATAATATATTTATTTAGAGATATAATATTGCACGTATTTTATATAAAATCTAGTCAAACTTGCGGCTGAAA